GCCTCTGACCCCTATTGACCGCCCCGTGATTGTACCCCAGCAGGACGCAGCCTTCGTGGTGCAGGCTGTGGCCGTCAGCTGCGTGACGGCCTGACCGCCGCCGTGGTCAGACGCCCCGAGCGCGTCAGTTTCCGTCCACGCCCGGACGCAGCGGAGCTGGGCGCGGTCATCCACGGATGCATGCAATATGGCCACAGGCAGGGTGTCGACGTGTATCTTTTGTGAGGGCTCTGGACCTGCAATGGCCCCTCAATGTTGGTTGGGCTCCCTTTATCTGTTTGCTGGAATATTACAAAAAGCGGAAAGGTTTGATATCGTACGGAATTTACCGCCTTTGAGCAACAGCTTGGTGGCCATGACTATTATGCATTTGATGTACGAGAAGAAAACTACTTGATAAAAAGGTAACACAAAAGAAACGCGTACCTAGGTAAGGTTAGGTAATCGGGCCGACGGTTGGCCCTCGCCCTCTCCCCTCAGCAGTTTACGCAGATGGACACCGCTGGCTGCAACAGTTTTCTGCGGCTTACATGTCGCCTTGATCTCATAGGTCTGAAATATCTCATGTTGGCTGAAACTAGAGATCCATACCGAATAACGTCAGTGGAGACGAAGATACGCGCACTCTTACGCTGGTTCTCGTAATATTTCAAGATCACGTATCGAATAAAAAGACAAAATTTGATTCTCAGTTGGCATGATGCAGCCCATTATAAACAGCTACAATTCATCTGACCAGAAGGCAGCGGTTGCCATCCCGTCCTTACACGTGGGGGCGTCCCATCGCAGCCGCGGCTGACAACGCGTGAACAAAGCTGGCACTACGCCCGCGGCTGACAACGCGTGAACAAAGCTGGAAGTATGCCCACGGCTGACAACGCGTGAACAAAGCTGGAAGTTTGCACGCGGCTGACAACGCACGAACAAAGCCGGAAGTTTGCCCGCGGCTGCATGAAGACGCGAGCGTAGGTTATATTCGCCACGATGACTTCTAACGCTGCTGGTGGAGGGAAGAGAGCCTGCTGTGCGTATGTTTCGACCCACACCCGAACGGCAGCAAGCTAAGCATGTCATCTCACGCTGGGGCGTCCTCGGAGGAAGAGCGGCCTCTCACGTTGGGGCGTCCTCGGAGAAAGAGCGGCCTCTCGCGCTGAGGCGCCCTCGAAAGAGCGGCCAGCCCGGCGTCGGCCGGCGCGACACCGCCGGCGCCATATACCGGCGACACCGTGTCGCGCCATATCCGCCCGTACTGGGGGCGCGACACCGCCGGCTCGCCTGCCGCGCCATATCCGCCCGTACTGGGGGCGCGACACCGCCGGCTCGCCTGCCGCGCCACATCCGCCCGTTACAGGGGGCGCGACTGCGACGGACGCCCGGGAACACGATCCGTCCTCAGCCGCCCCAGCCGCTCTGTTTGGCCGTCACAACCACGCGGCCGAGAAGACTGTCAGCGCCGGCGCTTACTCGACCGACAATGCTGGAGCCGAAGGGCTCGGCGACAGACGGGCGGGGTCGGCGTGACCTGACACGCAGGCGCTCAGCATGACCTGATACAAAGGTGCTCGGCGTGACCTGACACGCAGGCGCTCAGCATGACCTGATACAAGGGTGCTCGGCGTGACCTGACACGTAGGTACTCGGCGTGACCTGATACAGGGGTGCTCGGCGTGACCTGATACAGGGGTGCTCGGCGTGACCTGATACAAAGGTGCTCGGCGTGACCTGACACGTAGGTACTCGGCGTGACCTGACACAAGGGTGCTGGGCATGACCTGAAGCGTAGGTGCTCGGCGTGACCTGATACAGGGGTGCTCGGCGTGACCTGATACAGGGGTGCTCGGCGTGACCTGATACAGAGGTGCTCGGCGTGACCTGATACAGAGGTGCTCGGCGTGACCTGATACAGGGGTGCTCGGCGTGACCTGATACAGGAGTGCTCGGCGTGACCTGATACAGGAGTGCTCGGCGTGACCTGATACAGAGGTGCTCGGCGTGACCTGATACAGAGGTGCTCGGCGTGACCTGATACAGGGGTGCTCGGCGTGACCTGGTGCAGGAGTGCTCGGCGTGACCTGATACAGGGGTGCTCGGCGTGACCCGATACAGAGGTGCTCGGCGTGACCTGATACAGGGGTGCTCGGCGTGACCTGATACAGGGGTGCTCGGCGTGACCTGGTGCAGGGGTGCTCAGCGTGACCTGACACAAGGGTGCTGGGCATGACCTGAAGCGTAGGTGCTCGGCGTGACCTGATACAGGGGTGCTCGGCGTGACCTGGTGCAGGAGTGCTCGGCGTGACCTGATACAGGGGTGCTCGGCGTGACCTGGTGCAGGGGTGCTCGGCGCGACCTGATACAGGGGTGCTCGGCGTGACCTGGTGCAGGGGTGCTCGGCGTGACCTGAAGCGTAGGTGCTCGGCGTGACCTGATACAGGGGTGCTCGGCGTGACCTGGTGCAGGGGTGCTGGGCATGACCTGAAGCGTAGGTGCTCGGCGTGACCTGATACAGGGGTGCTCGGCGTGACCTGATACAGGGGTGCTCGGCGTGACCTGATACAGGGGTGCTCGGCGTGACCTGATACAGGGGTGCTCGGCGTGACCTGGTGCAGGAGTGCTCGGCGTGACCTGATACAGGGGTGCTCGGCGTGACCTGATACAGGGGTGCTCGGCGTGACCTGATACAGAGGTGCTCGGCGTGACCTGATACAGGGGTGCTCGGCGTGACCTGATACAGAGGTGCTCGGCGTGACCTGATACAGGGGTGCTCGGCGTGACCTGATACAGGGGTGCTCGGCGTGACCTGATACAGGGGTGCTCGGCGTGACCTGACACAGAAGCACTCGAGCGACGTCCTCTATTCTCATGGCCGTATTTACCTCCACTGCAGAGCTCACTTGCGGGACAAAACTGTATTTGACAGACAGAAAACGAGCATCGTGTCGTAGGTCCATAATAATAGAGAAACAATCATTTTGGGGCAGACAGCGAGGCCTATACGCTATTTTTTGTAGCGATTGACGGTGTAAAACTTCGCTGCCAGTGTTCCAATGGTTCGTGGCCTCTTCCCTTCCCACAGCGGGCCATTGTTTTGTATGGTTGCTATGGCCCTGGACGCCTCTGTAAAAAAATAAGGACCTGCGGTTATCGATTGCCTTTGGGGCGTCATTGGCGTTTTTGGTCGGCGCTAGAAGCACTATCTGTTCTCACCGGCATGATCCTGTTCATCGACCCGCGCTCCCGCCGTGTCGTTCCCTTCTGACGACACCGCCACTACCCGTCCCAAGCCCGTATTCGGAGGAGCCGGCGGTGAAGAAGATGCCGTCCGCTGCAGGCATAGCTACAGCCGCGCTCCCAGCGGCCGCTCTTCTAGGTTCTGGAGAGTCAATCATCCTTGCTGCTTTGGGTGCCGTGACGGCACAGCGTCGGGACGAGGTCGTTGCAGTAGACAAGCCTGAAAAACGGAGATAATACCCAGCCCATGGTTAGCCCCCATTTGACTTCCTGTCCTGGGAGGCAGTTATGGTGCTAAAAGAAATCAGTGTCTACGCGCCCCCTCCCCCGTGGTTGTGTATATGACCTCGGTCTATGGTACTTCGCCTCAGAAAATTTTGTGCTCCTACCAGCTAGACAGCGTAGAACTACTTCGGCGTACAAAGAAGGCTCGTCCAGCGGACTCGATCACGCGCGGCGGCCAGGTCAGCAGCGACCGGAACTGTCCGCTTCGTGTGTTCAGCTCTGAGAGCGTCGAGGATGTCCTGCCCCAGCCTTTCGGCCTGCCTCCCAGGGCAGCGACCTGTCCTGGAGACGGCCTGTTCTGGCACTCTTATTCCCTCTCTCATTCTTCTTCAAGAGATAGGTCAATCCACTCTGCACGAGCGGCTCGCCAGCGTACGAACACCCTGGACGGGGCTGATTTTTCGGTGCGAAGAGGGCTTTTCCGGTGGTTTACCAGCCTAGTAGATCAGGGGGATGTGAGCCCTCCCCAGAACGTGACCACTTTTCCTGTCTCGACGCTTGGGCTCAGCAAACGCCGCGGCCTTCCGCCCAGCGGCGATCAGCTGTCTGTACAGCTTTGACGTCACTCTTGGGTGACGTCACTCCGTCGGGACCTGCATGACGTCACTCCGTCGGGGCCTGGGTGGCGTCACTCCATCGGGTTGCTGCGGGCCGCCGCCCGCCCAGCTACGTTGCGGGGCATGCAGACCATGTGCAGGCAGTTCGAGTGCTCGACGTAGCTCGACTATGCAACGTTGGCCTTCAGCCGCTCCGCTTACTGTTGCGGTTCCGGGCGGGGGGGGGGGGGGGGGCATCTGGGCGGCGCATGCGGACTTAATCAGGCGTAACGCGTGGCAGGGACCGCAACTTTCCGGTTTGGCGTTCTGATGCCCTTCCATTGGCCACAAGAACGGCTGCCGATGCCTGTTCTCGGCCGCCACCGTCCATGGCTCGCATCGCCCTGAAAAGCGCATCGTTTTCGCGCTGGTGTCCATCTTCTCGTGTTTGTCTGCCCAGGCTCCCCATTTGGTGTGCCTGATGATGCGGCCGTCTTCTCCAGACTCTGCAATCACACCGGTGTTCGGTGGTTCATCGGAGCCTGGGCCGAAGAGGCCGGGTACCCGGCGCCTGTCCACTATCTTTTCCAGTGAGCCGTTCCATTTTGGGGGGCGGAACAAAAGAATGGGGAAACGTGATGGTGTGACTCAGCTGTCCAGCTAGCTACGTTACTCAGACTTAGGTTCAGGCCCTGCTTCGCGAGGTGACGAGACAGGTACTGGGAGGGGGGGGGGGGGGGGCAATGTCCGGATACCGAGCCCCGTCTTCTTCCAGAGCGTTGTGCAAACCGCAGAAGTCGCAAGCTATTCCAGTCAGTCTTTTGACTGGACGCCCTCGGTCTCAACTTGGAGCATATATAGCAGCCTGGACGTTTCTGGTCATCTGAGCAAAACAATTGGCCGTCAGATTTGACGCCAACAGCTATATTTATAGCCCATAGGCGAATGCAAGTTCTAAATAATGCTCGACAGCATCGTTCAAACTATTGTGGCGACACTGACAGCACGGAAAGGGTACATTTGAAAAAGTTCACGTTGTGACCTTTCATGGCCGCTCGATACTTGGCCGGTTGTTCGGCTCTAATCACGGTCCGCCGCCGACTGCTGCCGGAATCGGGGCAGCGGCACCGCCGAGCCGCGCTCCTGCGTTTGGCAGGCAGAGTGGCGGCGAGCGCGCAACAGGCTCGGGCTGGTCCCGTCCGCAGGGCCAGGCGCCAACCCAAACAGCCCTCACCCAGTCGTCACATCGGTCACGCGGCGGCGCGCTGTTGCGTCGCGCTGCCACCTGTTCCGACAGAACGTTACGGCCCCGCCAGGGAGCGTCACGCGAGCGCCGCTGCGAGGCTGCGGCACCGCCCAGCGAGCCGAGCCGGACGGCGGCGCGTAGTGACGCCGGTGGGCGTGTGCGTGTATTTTCCATCACGGTCCAGCGGCAGTATAAAGGAGATCGGTACCAGGACCCGGGCCCTCTCGCCGCGCACAGCGGCACGTGCCCGCAACACCCACACACACACACACTCACACACAGTCCGGGCGGCCGACGAGGCAGGCGTATCTCGCCCACCAGCGCATCCCAACGCCGCCAACCTGCCGGCCGGGCTACAACGATTCACGGCCGGGGTGCAGCGTCCGTACTTAGACGCCGCTGTCCTCGCCTACATCACGCACGTTAGTTGCTCGGCAATCTTTATACAAATCTCAACAGAACGCCTGACCAACGGTAAAACGGGAACACAAACGGCGCCTTCTCTGCACGCTAAAGCAGTGGCCGACCTTTAAACTGGCAACGAATGAGAGCGCCCCGCCAATCCCCGACAGCTTGGAGCCAAGCTGAAACAATGTGCTCACTGATTAGACCAAATAAAGAATCCGACTTTCGGGCGCACTCAAAACGAAATCACATCAGACCTTGATAGAAACAAAACGGAAGCAGGCCACCCCGCGCCGGGCGGCGGATGGGTTCAGTGCCCTCCTCCGTCCGGTACCCCCGGATGGTCCGGCGCGACCCCTCACACCCCGCCGGTCCAGCGCCGCTGGGCCGCGTCCGCGCCCGCGCCAGCCTGACTGCGCGGCCGGCGCCTCTTGGCTCCGCCCGCCGGGGCCCGCCCGCCCCTCGTTTGTACGCGCACTCAGTGCTCCTCCTCGTCGTCGTCGTCCTCGTCGTCCTCCTCCTCGTCGTCGTCGGTGTCGAAGTCGATGCTGGGCGTGACGGAGTCGCCACGCTCCGAAGTCGTGGACGTGCCGCTGCCGAGGCCACGCGTCGAAAGCGCCGTCTCCAGGTCGACGCTCAGCCGTTCCGACTGGCTGCCGTCCCGCGCCAACTCTGCCACACAGGGGACACACACGCGTCTCAGTCAGCGGCAGGGCGGCGACGCGGCGCGCTACGGCAGGCCGACGCCACAGAAGCTGCGAGGCACGCGGCGGCCCGCCGCCACAGAAGCTGCGAGGCAGGCGGCGGCCGACGCCACAGAAGCTGCGAGGCACGCGGCAGGCCGACGCCACAGAGGCTGCGAGGCACGCGGCAGGCCGACGCCACAGGAGCTGCGAGGCACGCGGCAGACCGACGCCACGGGGCCGAACCTTTCGCGGCTGGGTGCTGTGAGCACAGGGCTGGTTCAGAGCGTTTGTGAGGCAATTTTTCTGTCCCACTTGTCGTAAGCAGCCTGTGTCCACATGCGGAGGACTCCGCTAACAACCAGTTTCAACCGTAACGTGCTACAGCCCGTCCCCAGAAGAGGTACTCACGGTCTATATAGGGCGCCAGGGAGGGCGGCACCATGGCCTTGGCCTTCTCGACGTCCTCCTCGCGACACGTGCCGTTCTCGAGACCTGTCGGCAGCGCGGGGCGCGCCGTCAGCGTCGGCAGCGCAGGTCGTCAGCTGGACCCAGTCACGGCAGCGGACCCCCCCCCCCCCCAGACGGAGGATCGCCCCCGCAATGGGACGGGGCGGCCATCCCACCGTCATCACTGCCGGCTGTGCGCCAGCGGTGAGGTCGTACCCACAGCCGGCCTCCCTCTGGGCGCCGCCAGTGGCTGCTGCCGACGACATCTTTAGTGCATGGTCGGCATGACCACATCCCCGCTTTGTCGGTTCCCATATCGAATCGACTGCTCGTGCCCTGCCATCAGCGCGCGCGATTCCTGCTCAGGGGCACGCGAGAAACCACTCACCGAGCGCCAAGCCCATGCGCTTGAGCACCTCAATGTCATCGTGAATCTCGAACGTGTCGTTGAAGTTGAACAGGTACTCCATTCTGAAACGAGCGGATGGCACCGTCAACGTCAGCCCGAGACGTGCTGCGATGCCGGCGTTGCCTCGACAAACGGCGTTTGCAGGATGTGACGTCAAACCAAGCAAGGCCAGCACGGCACATGTCAAAGTTCACGCTCTCCCTCACCTTACTCTTTGGTTGATTTTTCCCAGCAGCAATAGCCCTAAGCTGCACACAGCTCCAAACCGACAGCGCGCCATAAATCACAAAGGTACAACTAGTCACCGACACAGTAGTTTGCTCATGGCTGATGGAGCAAGGCAGACAAGAAGTACCAACCATGCGACGCTGAACAGGCCACTAAGCGCTGACTTCATGAAGAAGACCATACCACAGTTATATATCCCACTTCATTGTAAATACAAGGCGCCTCCATAACAAATCGAATAGCGAAATTAGCGCAGGAAAACAAGATTAGATGCAATGTGCGCATCTATCCATCCATCCATCCATCCATCCGTGCATGCATGCAAGTCCCATCTGCAGACAAGGCGTGGCCATATAAAACATAAAATCATCGCACAGTGTCTACAACGCCGAATTGCCGATCGCCTATGCGTGTATATTACATCATGTTCTCACGCAGAGACAACCATGCTCCCGTTCTTATCTACTCTTGAAATCAACAGCAGCTACGCATGGTATAACGGGAGTGACGGGATAGAACCGATCGGAATATCAAGGCCTCGGACTCTAACGCACTCCACCCGCAAAGTCTTACGTTTACATGTAATTCCGGAGCTGCCGAAATTGCTTGAGAGTTGTTGAAATTAGATGGGCGCTTTCGAACTGGTGAGACTTAATTCCAAAGTGAGAGCGGAAACGCCCGGTTACTCCCGCACAGCTCTTTTTGGCAGAGGACGCTCTTTCTGCTACTGTCGGCCGCTGAAGAGGTGCCGAGAATGGATGTCTCTCGCTTAGATGCAATTCCTTCGCTCTGCATGCGGCGCATTAGTTCTGAACTGTATGCAATCACGACGAATGAGGTTGGAACGGGGTGCAGTTCCTTGAAAACCGCTGCGCCCCGTTCCCGCGTTCCAGACGGTACGCTGCAAGTTTGGACCGAACGGTACGCGACCTGCCGTTTTCGCGACCCCGTCAGTGACCCGAAGCACGAGGAGGTATGCGACTGGGCCCCACGAGCTGATCCCTGGGGCCGAGGTCTGGGTCCAAGCACCAAACGACACTACGCGATCCCGGCTTTACTTATGGACTTATGAAGGGCCGAATAATTACCTCCCAGATCTGTGTCGTCCGGCAGGAAACAATGGTTAATTTGGAAGAGGACCAATTGGGACCAAGCTCCCGGGTTCCGTTGTTCACCCCTGAACAATTCTGGAAGCCAAACCCCACCGTGCATTATTTTGCAAGAGCTCAAAGAAGCCAGGACTAGGAGCCTGATTCTAGAAGAGACCAGAGAACCAGGAAAGGTCGGTTTTCAAAACCACTGGAAAACAGATTCCCGTATATAACGGTCAAGAGGCGCCGGTGTCCGGCTATACAAAGGGACCGACGGGAACTCGGATGCAGTGCGTGTTGTATGCAGAAGAAACCAGAAGACCCAGGATCCAAGGTCTGGATTTGGTGAGGAGGCAACGGGAACCAAGATGCAGCTTCTTTATTTTGTGAACAAACCAAAGGATGCCAGAAACCGACAATTGGAACCATGAACATTTCTAGTGATAAGCAACGCGTGATTGTTACCTTCCAAACCCATCGGTGAAATCTGTACCAGTGAATAACAGTGACAACTATTGACCCAAAACAATGTATTGTACAAAATGTTAACTGTCGCAAGGTTTAATACGCGTGCTTATGACTATCAGATAAAAAAACATCATGAAACAGTGCACGGTTATGTCATTATTTCTTTCATGGGTGCTGAGGTAATGGTACATCTACGAGCCGGTAATAAATTACATTCAGACTTGGGGAAAAAGAACGTTGTAAAACTGGTTTAAGTTGCCGTGCCCTCAGGGAACACTACCGAGCATCTCAATGCGACACCTCATACAAACGTGGGGCATATGACCGGCGGACGATTGGCGTTTGAATGACGTTTAAACACACATCATTATGCCAAAACTTCACATGTTCACTTCATGCAGCATTTTTTTTATAAATGATGCTCTTAACACGCACTCGGGTAACGGGTGGTGTCAAGTTGACCCCCCCCCCCCCCCCGAATATTTTTTCCGAATGGTTTCCGAACGGCGCGGCGTAGCCGCGCCAAATTTGCATAGCTGTAGACGATTGAATAGCAAATCGTCTGATATAAAAAAATTAGATCCACCTTGTAAGGTCGCGGACCCATGGCAGGTCAAAGTCAAGCCATGGTTCCAGCGAAGGCGATTTCTAGGGAGTCGTTCAATCTGATGCAACAAAGGAGTGGTAGACGAAGCCATACATCTCTGAGATACTTTCTTAGACAACAAGACAATTGAATAAGTAAATTGCATTAACCTAGGGTCAGGTATGAAGGTCAGACCAAGGTCAAACCAACCCGTTTTATTACTCCAGGGCTTGCTGTATGGGATAGTTTCTGGCGCCCATTTCGAGCATATCGATAACAGGAACCGCCTTATACACCTACCATGGACTTCTTAAAGGTCACAATAGGTCATTAACCTAAAATGACTACGGTAAACATTTTGTTTTTAGGAGCATACTGCCTAGCGTAGCCTTAGTCGCGTATTGAAAAGCAAAACTCAATGCAGTTTTGTATGATTTTGGTCACCACGACCTTCAAAATTTCCACGGTCACTGACCTTAAATGAGCATATAACCTTTTGCTTAAAATAGTTATCTACGTTCTAACGGCCATATCGAGACCATCATCGAATTTGACCTTCTTTGATCTTATTTGGTCCGAAGGTCATGACCTAGGAACTTCAAATCTTGACCCAAGTGAGTTCACGTACAGGTCAAAACACCCTGTGAATTTGGTGTTTCTAGCTCTCTTAGTTCCTAAGATTTCAGCTGGGGGGGGGGGGGGGGGGGTCAAACTGACCCTCCACCCGAGCGAAGGGTATCCAACCGGCCACCGGGGCGCGTGTTAACGCATGGCGTTCGACAATCCACGTCCCTACGCGTCCCAGGGATCATTCTAAAGGGAAGTGATGGTAAATCTTTGGCGGTGCTATCTGTTGCACCATCCTGTAAAGATGAAAGACAATTTCCCACTATAAAGCAGCATTTCAGGTGGGTTCCGCACTACTGACAAGACGCAGAGCCTGTGGGGAAGGGCATTTCACTGGTCAATACGGTTGTAAATTTGCTAACTCCAACATGAAACTTAGAATGCCTCAACGCTGATGATGATTTGGGGTTTTGGGGCGCATCGACTGCTGTAGGTCATGCAACGCCCATAGCCATCATTTTATGCAGAACCGTAAATCAGGCAAATGCATCCGGCCACCCTATAAAGCCTTGATGATCAGGCCCGGTATCACGATGAAAATTTTACTGATATATCTGCAGCGCGAAGAAAATGGAACACTTTACCAAACTCGACAGCATGCGAACAATGCCCAAAAAAGTGACATAGCGTGCGACTCTGGACATTGTGTCCGAAAAACCGCGCTCTCGTTGCGGGAAGGTGACGGCAAGTGACGAGTACGTGATGCACGGTCAGCGGGTCGGAGCATCGACTGCAGCGTGGTCTGTCGCCAGCCAATAACAGGTGGCGGTGCGTGGCATATGTGTGGCCTATGCGTAACCGGCAAAGGGCAACTTCCTCCCTCCTATTGTTGCGAAAACACGACTGCCATAGTCCAATACGGGGTTTCGCTGACTTCAGCTCGTTGGCGTTCAGCGAGTTCCAGTGGAACTGCCATCAATTCTGCATAAACGACGACACCCCGGGTTGCATGTCTTCAGCTGGTGGTGGTGTTATAGGAATGTGTGCCCCTGTCGTAGGAATGTGTGCCCCCTGTGCTTTGCACCCGCGTAAGCAAGATCATTCCCGCAGATGCCCACGCCACTTGGGATTCAACACATTGCGACCGTTTTTCCTACTCGATCCCATGAGCTAAGACGCGATTGAATGTCCTGGACCAATCGATTCGACGAGGAGAAGCCACCAACAGCCAGGAGACTGCTCAAGGAGACGGAAAGAATCAGATGCAAATTGTTATCGTCTACTTCAATAAATCAGAGAGCTTTGCTGATGGCCTTAAGCTTGGAAGTGAAGACCCACGCGCGTGCAGGCAGTGTGAATGGCCGTGATGCGGAACCATACACAAAAGCGCATCCTACACCTGTATCCGTCTTCGAACCATCCGTATAGGTCATCACGTGTACGTCAAAGGAGGCTATGTGCTCTACGGCTGCGTCTTTAAGTTCCGTCATGAGAACGCGTTGCTTTTGGATGTTCGATAGCGAAACATTCACTCTTGGCGATGCTACCACCCAGGAAGCAGTCTTCATGAGTTTAGGTTCGATGACAAGTGGTAGGTTGAAGCCGCTCGCGTCTAGAACTTCCCGCATTCGTACACAAGAGGGATAAGTTTGTGGTGGCCGCTGAAGTACAAATAGCCTTCCTAAGCCTTGCGACAACACTGCTTTGTAGGTGGGAAGATCTGGGAACTACGCTAGCTGGCACGTGTAGCGCAGTTCCAGCACCTGCCTTCGCAATGCTAGTGGGGGCTAGTGAGCCTCCACCAGAAGACTATCTACGGGCGATACTCGGAAAGCCCTGTGGCGATACGTAATGCCGTGCGGTGCACCGTGTTCAAAGTACATTTGATCAGGTCTGATGTACCGTCACAGATAAGACAGCCGTAGCCAAGTTTTGAACGAATGAGGGAACAGCACAGGAGAAAGAGCGTCCTCCTGTCAGCACGTATGATGTACGTCCCATGCACCTTGTAACGTTAAGAGATCGTGAACATTTGTCGCAGATATTTCTTATGTGTTCTTGATACGTTAGGCGTCGGTCAAATCATATACCGAGAAATTTCACGGTATTCTCAATAGCGACG